AGTTTTAAATTTATACGGATCTATATTGTAGCTATTTCCCCGGGCCTAATTTTCTGTTCTGTCCGACCTTGTCTAATTTTCCCATATCTTATTACAATGTAATTCCACTTTCTTTTATCGCTGATAATTTTGCTTACACTCCTCAAAAGGTAAATCGCAACACAACGAAGGAATGCGCGTAGCCACATACAAATGGCAGGACCAGTAGACGTGACAAATATGCAAATGATTAAGTTTGCGTACACATCCGTTTACGTGGTACCAGTTTCGGGCCATAAATGCTATCAGCGACGGTTGGTGGCAACCGAAGTTAAAATAAGCGCAGAAAATGCCTCGGAGATAACGAGCTTGAATACCACCAGTTAACAGCTGGGGAATGAGACCCTATTATTCTGGAGCTGCGCGACCTCGGTTTGTCGATGCGCGGAGTTGCTACGTGTGTTGGGCACGACGTGAATACCATCCAGCGATGTGACACGATGGATGTGATGGATGGATGTGACACGATGGATGTGACACACGATGTGACACGCCGAAGAGGGAGTTGGTCGAACCAGCGCACAGACCGGCAGATTTGCCGAACGTCTCGTCGGGACCTGTTCGCCAAGCCACTTGACATCCGAAGCCGCCTGTCTCCGTCAACGGGTGCATATGACCACCCAAACCGTTCGCAGCAAGGGCTGCACCCTTGACGTGGTGTCGTCATCATCGCAACTGGACCACTGAATGGCATCGGGTATTGTTTACGGATGAATTCCGCTTTTGTTTGTGGAGGAATGACGGTCGTGGATATGGAGGTATCCCGGGGAATACTATGTGCTAGCCCTTTTCGCCTAGTGTCACACAGGGCATCACGTTCGATCAGAGGTCAGCCCTGATGCACATTTTCGGTACTCTGACTGCGGACCAGTAGGTCACACGAATTATGGGGCCTGTAGATATGGTTTAACGATGACGTCCAGACTTAGATTCGGGTGCCTTAATGGTGGAAAAACTACCTCGTAAATAGAAGTACTGTATACCAGATATAATTGCACACTGTAAATAGAAATGATATCAATAATCTATCGAATGAAGGTAAAAGAGCTATTTAAATTACATTTAAAACGATCACATCTTGGAAAACAATGTGGTGTAAAAAATAAACCTATTTTAAGATAGACCATTGATATCAATATGGACATTCTAACACCATTGACCAAACTTGTCTGATTCAGAGCAATTTTTTTGTTGTTAAACATGAATTGTCTTAAATAATTTACTACAGCATCAAACTTCTTAATAGTTTCTTGTAGTTTAACAAAATCACTGATAGTCCAGTGTTCTTAAAATACTTTGAATTTTATCTTATTAGGTTATTTATAATTTTATTATAAAGTTCATTATATTTATATATAATGAACTCAATTTTTAAAGATTTTATATATGTACAGTACATAGTGTTCAATCTCAAGTTTATCAGAATCATATAAATGGTCTCTAATAATATGAACAGAAATTTTCTTTAAAAAATTATGCATGAAACACATTTTTATATAATATATAAAACCTTGGAATAATAAAAAGTGATAAATATTTGTAAAGTGGACAGGATCATATTGAATTTCTTGCAGAGAACATATATCAAGTTATCACATAGCTTAGTATTGAGTTGCAGTGGGACAGCTTGGCATAGATAAAAGTTAGCCTGTGCATTAAAGTACTGTAGTCTCATTCTTTTATTTACATAACTAAGTTTCAATTTCAACATTTATTCATTGTGTTCATTCAAAACCAAACTAGTGGCATTTCTCACTTATATGCTCAAGAGAGGCCCTAGAAAGCCAGAACTCCACAAAATCTCAAAATAAGCTATAAAAATATTTTAAATTTAAACTATATATGAATTAATTATATTTTAAAAATATAATGTGTAAATTGAATATTTTTATATACAAAATGCATGAGATTTTGTTTTTAGTACCATACATATATATATATAAACATGTGTTCAGTACAAATGTATAAGTCAGTCCACACCAAAAAATATATTTCTGGGAGTATTGATGATATATCACTTCTCCTGGCTAGAAGTTTGGACAGTATAATTTATAAACTACTTTCTATCGACTATTGATTTAAACCAGTCATGAGCAACCCACAGTATTTGGTAACAACTTTATTTTCCTGTTTTCTGCCTCATGTCATTATGCAATCCTAATTAAGCTGATATCCATGATGAACATTTAAACTAAACTTCATTAGTGAAAAGATGTTGTACTAACTGGTAACAGATAATTTAGCATCATATATTTTAGTATCTAGTGCACTGACAATTACAGAATATGCTGACACATGGAAAGCTTAAAGCTTGCAACTCTTAAGTGTGTGTGTAACCCAATGGAAACCTACATCTTCCCTTGTAGCCAACATCCAGAAAAGGTCACTCACCACTGATTTGAATGTTAACAAATCATGATACAGCAGTTTGTGTCAAACTTTGTAAAAAAATACAAATGGCTGTTCAGAAACATTATTACAGTATATATGCAAGTGTGGCTGTTCACCATTTTGTTTATGTAAATACTGTACATAGAATTAGAACTCCTTTCTTCTTTCCTATCACTATTCTTCCTTCTGCTTTTAACCCTTTCCTGTCATCTGACATGAGTGGGAATTTTGTGGGTCCTGATTGGTGGTTTTGCCAACAGGGACAGGGAAGGGTCCAGCCCAAAGTGATCGTTAGACACGGGGTCAGAAAACGGACATTTTTGGATTTGTCACTGAGAAGGAAGGTCAAAGGAGAGACTGAAGAATCGTGCATGAGACGGAGATCGACGATGAGAACCCAGATAGAAAAGGTGGGACAGAGACAAGAAGTAATTGAGATATCCGTTCCTGAGAGGTCCCTAAAAATACCTTGGTGTATATTTGTTAACATCTGCATAGTATTAACCCTGATGCCGACGGATTGGACATCCACCGTGATTAATCACCCAGATCAGGACCTCCATTGTCTAACTACAGGTAGATTCTTCTTACTATCTTTATCTATCTATCTATCTATCTATCTATCTATCTCTATTAGTTGTAGTATTAGGTTAAGGTTAGTTGAAAGTAGTTTAGTTTAAATTGAAATTGTATATAATCAAATTTTGTTTGGAAAAACCTGAATGAGAGCGGAGACCTTGTATATATATATCTGTGTAAATTTGTCTCTGTGATGGGCATCAATTCTTTGTTAATTAAATAATTCGGCTAATAAACTGTTTGTTCCTTGTGGCTTGGTCGTTTTACCTGATTTCTAATCATACAGTTTCTCAAAAAAAAAAAAAAAAAGTAATCAACAGTATTCAAATTAAAAAAAAACAATATTCAAAATGAACTATGATTTACAGTACCTCAAACACCTTTACAGCTCTAGTGGTATGTGTTTACACCTTAGCAAACGTTTTCAACCTCATCGAGGTCTTCATCAGCCTACTTTAATTATGAATTCAAACGCGTTTGGAACGGAACGTATATGATTCAAAATTTATAAACAGATTTAAGAATACTCAAGGAACGTTACGCACGCGCTAAAACGACTAACGCACGTGTAATATCAAGTTTATATCAAGAACTATGATTTACTTTTTGGAAACTAGTTATGAGAACATTAAAAAATCATTTTAAAAACAAAATTCTACTTAGGCTAAATATTTTGATTAGTAATTCTGTAACAGTAAATAAAAACACGAGTTAAATTTATATTTATCTTCAACTAAATCACTATCTTTGACAGAAATTATATCAAATTCAGTAAAATTAAAACTGAAATATTAATGAAATGTTTAAATTCTGTTATTTGAATATATTATTCAAACACTTTTTTTTTGGATAGTTAAAAATAGTACTGTAATAATATAATTATAATATAATTTATTAAAATAAATTTNAAAATAAATTTTTATCTTTTTTTTTGGAAATAATTGAATTATGCAATTAAAATTCTTTATTTCTGTAATAATAAATCTTGTTTTGTCTCTAACTTAATTGCAAACATTTTATTAAATTTTGTAAATCTAAAATTCCTAAATACTTTTAATATTTTCATTAATTTGATATCTATTTTCTTATATTTTGTCATAGAATGATTATAAATTCTAATGCAAGGATTAGCTTATAAAAATTAGTCTCTCATATGGTATTACTATAGTAAACTTTCTTTTTCATTACTATTTCAAGAAATGAGATTAAAAATTTATGTAAGTGTACTACACTTTTAAATTTATCAATTTAAAGTAACTAAAATTAATTATAACAATTTACTCAAGAACACATATAGAATCGAGTTTTCATGACAGGTGTATCACATTTTAATGCCATATTTACATTTAAAAAGTTGCACACTCAATCAACAGGTTGTGTACTTTTATTAATTAATCAGTTAAGATAAGAATATTTTTAAAACTAATTATTTTTGATGAGTTATTTTACTAATCAATTATTAAACATTGTATAACAATTATTTCATATAAAAATCATATTTAATGTTTAAATAAATATTTGAGAGAGTAAAAATATATTAAGCATACTCTTACCCAACTTTCCTTTGTAACTTGGGTGGAAACATTTTATATGTTGCTTCACAGTCAATGAATTCAATCACTAATTCAAGTATCAGGTTACTGATGGAAATGATTACTAAAAGATTAACTATAAATTTATGTCATGCAAATTAAAAGGACGGATGTATCCCTACTTAACAACCAATTAGAACCACTTGTTTTAAAATACCCACAGTCAATTTTTTTACACATTTTTTTTTCAATATTTATTATTTTCATACAAATTAGTCTTTCTGAAATATTTTGTATTTCAGTATTCACATCTCTCAAAATTTTAACATTGTATAATATATTAAAGAATACTGTCCTTGTCACCATATCCTGGAATTGGCTAGTACGAATTTTCATTAATAAAGAAAATCTGGATCAAACTTTCAAATGCAAGGAACACAAAGTGTACTATTATTATTATTATATTTATTGGGGAATGAAACAAACATAATTCAAACTTCAAACATTATTTTGACTTTCCCACAGTTCACTCAGTTTTATTCTAGCTTTCCTTATTACATTTTTTTTTTGCCACATATATAGAGGGCAGGATATGGTTAAAACTAGCAAATACAGTTATGATATACTTTGTATAGTTTTAGGTTTTACATTTTATATATATGTATTTTGTTGTTTTTGAGAAGTTATTTGAATATTCAGAGTTCAATCCCAATATTTTGAATATAATTAAATAAAAATTAAACAAAAACATTTATATGTACAATGACTAATAGCTAAAAATCATTTCTTGGCATAGAGTTATCCGTTTGTATTACAAATATTCTTAATATATTGAAATTTAATAACTGCAAGGGTACTTAACAAAAATTTATCTTTTTACAACGTAATGTGGTCTCAACAATAAACCATTTGTCAATTACACCAAACATGCCAATATTTTTTATAATACAATTTCTTCATGTCATCAATGACAGTAACTCAATTAACAAACTCAAAGTTTTAACCAGAAAGTTATTCTATCATTTTTTCCATTTATAATGTTTACAGCTAGATGAATTTGGCTGCCTGTTTTAATATTAAATTTTTAAGATGATTTTTTTCATATATTTGTTCATTTATGTGAATGTTTTACATAGCCCAAGAATACTATTTCATTTAAAAAAAAAAGAATGAAAATACTGAAACAGAGAAAGCATTTTTAGTTCAATAAAATGGACAATCAGTCATTCTTTTTTAGGTTTTTTTTTTTGTTTTTTTTTATACAACAATCATTTTCTATTCTAAAGTAAATACATTCTATTAGAACAGGCATGTCTCAAATTTCTATCTGATGACGAGATGTCTGATATTTAAAGTTCTGTTTCTTCTGTGCATTTGTGAAACATTAACCAAAAATTCACTTTTCTTACCACATATTTGCAACTATACAATTTTTTTTAGACTCCCTCTCTGCTCTGTTGATCTGTTTATTTTCCTCACATACATATAAAATATTTGCACAAAACACAGGAATCAAAACAGTTCAATTTCCTTCAACTGTTCACACATCAACATTCTACATATTGTCTTCAAAACATTTTTAACATAATTTTTCTTAAAAAATACAAAATATCTTATTCAAACTTCAAATTCCTAGAAAGTTCAAACATCAACACTTATCAATAAGAGCTTTGGGGATTGGTCATGTTGCACTGTTTTATGTCAAATGTTTAGGAATCTTTCATAATACATTCTAATTGAACAATTTGGGAGAAAATTCATTTATGTGAAACATGCCTAAATGCATACACAAACTTCAATACCAACACTCTAGATAATAAAAACTTAAATCAAGTGACACAAACTATCTAGCAACTTTGACCAGCATCATCATGTATATATACTATGTTTATGCATTTTCTTTTAATCACAAAGTTATTTGATATATGACAAAACCAATGTTACAAATAACTTTTAGGTGAAAAAATTAATGACTTAAGAAAAAACAATTACAAAGGTATCATCACTGCTCTCCTATGTACACAATGTACATAGATGTAGGAAAAATTTTCCCCATATCCACAAAGTAATCAAAGCCTGAATAATTGAATTTCAAAGTATTATTTGCTGATTCTAACTTGTCTCAAACTTCAGGCTTAAACAGCCAGGATCTGACAGTAAGTAATGGAGGCAGACTCTAATTGAGACCAACAGAGTGGGAGGGGTAACAGGAAAAGGATAATAAAGTTGGGAATGCCTACAGAAAGTATTTAGCAAACATGTAGCCAAGAAAGAAAGCAAAAATAACAATAACCAGATATAACCATGATAATTGAGGCTTTTGAGCCATCTGTATTTGGGTTTCTCTTTGAGAAAGATTTTGCTGTTCAGCATTTCTAGATATTCCCAACCTCAGTCCTTCTTCCTTCAATTGTGAATTTTCTTGTTTTAATTGGGCAATATCTTCTTTTAGTCGTTTGTTTTCTTCAGCAGCCCTTCTTAAGTCGACTTCAAAGTTAGCAGAAGTCTTGGGTGATGATTTTGCTGGTTCATTTGCTACCTTAGCTGTGGCTGGTTTCTCTTCCCTTTGTGTTTGAGAACTATCCAGATTGTTCTCTGCTGTAGTTTCTGGAATAAATACACAGCGTAATTTTGAGTCCATTAGAGATTCGGGATTAGCATCTCGCCACAATGTTTCTTGATTAATATCACCTTCTGGAGCAAACATTGTCTGAACCATAAACTTGTGCCTATTCTTTTCATTAGGATCATACTCAAATGGTTGAAGCATTACAGCAACATTTACAGCTTGTCTCGGTTCTATTATTCCACTATTAGGACGTACGCAATAACGTTTAGGTGCTGTAGTTTTCACTTTAAAACAAACTCTGCGTTCTGTAGGATTAGTCAACTTCAAATTTGATGTAACTACATCGGTAAATGGACCTCTAAAATGAAGCTCCGTTTGAGGTTCTAGGTACAAGACCTGCTCTTGTTTAGCCATTGTTAAATTTAAGATCACAGTATATAAAAACTGTCTGTCTAATTCAGTCAATTATGATNGTCGTTTAAAGGCCTGCTGAGGAGGGACGAACAAGTACGAAACACATGTTTGAAGTGTATGTGTTCAGGTGAACTTAATAAAGAACATTATTTTTAAACTGTAAGACTAAATATCTGCATCCATAATTCCAGTATAATAAGTCCTGTTAATATATAGAATGTACTAGTATACAAAATAAATTATAAATAATGAGATATGATAAATAATTTATGATATACAAACATGAAAAATCATACTCCTAAAAATTAATTTAAAAAACAGCAAAAGGCATTTTAAAATTGCAGAGACATAATTCAATAGTCAGTCAATTATTTTAAACAACAAATACAGTTCAAATTTAGTTAAAAAATGATTATTATTAAATCATTTTTTAAGAATAAAATTTCAGTTTTTAAAGTTGAATAATTCTAGTAGTGTTTTTAAAATGCTGTTATATACAGTAAAACATGCCCAAAATGGAATGTGAATAAAGTGGAAACCTGTATAAACATGTAAAATTCTTTGAAACAAAGCAATTTATGTTAAAAAACTACTTTAAAATGAAAACCTGCCAAATTGGAAAAAATATTTGGTACTGTGCAATACTGGTTTACACAGGTTTTACTGTACACTTTTTAATTAATAAAACCATTAAAATAAAATAAAATTGGTTTGTTATATAATTTTTAAAATATAACTGGATTAAGTATTTACCTTGGGTGATGATTTTGCTGGTTCATTTGCTACCTTAGCTGTGGCTGGTTTCTCTTCCCTTTGTGTTTGAGAACTATCCAGATTGTTCTGAAAACATCAAATATGTATCTTTATAATATAAAATATATTACTATATTTAGATTAAAAGTAAATATTTACTACAAAAGAGAATTATAAGATGAAGATAGTTCAAACATCTTGAGACTTAACTATTTTTAGTTAAGAATAGAATAAAATTTAAATCACAAATTCTTAAAGATCTCATTTAAAGTCAATGTATACAGTATTTTCTTGATGATCCTGTAAAAATTAATGTAAAATTCAAAATTGCTCAGAACTAAATAAAATTCCATCTAAAATGTTATTCTCAAGATTAGTCCACTTACAGAATTTTTAAAAAATTAATGCTAATTTGCTGAAGTATACAGTTAAATCTTGCTAATTAGAACCTCACTAATTCAAAGTTGTCAACAGTCCCTGGGTTATCCATATAATATGGTTTTGTTAAGTTTAACTGCTGGTACTTTTAATTCAAACCTATTTTCCCCATGTACCCTCCTCCATTCTTTGATCTGTCCTTGATCTTCATTTTCTTTTATATTCCACATGAATACAGACTATTAAACACTACAGCTTTATGCTGAACACAACACAATGCCATTTGCAATTTTGCACAGATGTGAAGGAAAAGTCTACTCTTTATGTTTATTTTCATTCCTAAAGCTTCTTGTCCTTTTTTCCCTTATTGTTCTATTCTTTTATAGCTACTTTTTGGTTATTTGGCAGACTTATCACACCATGATTTTTTTGTTTATTGTTACTTATTTTCATTTAGTTATGTTTATTTTGGAGATTTTGTTTAGTTAAGGGTGACACTTCCCACATCCAACCAGAAAAACAAAAAAACTAAGTTCAACTACCATGTGTAGTCTGTTGTGTTAGACATGATTAAGTAGATGACATCACTTACTCAGGAAAAATATAAAATAATAAAACTGAGATTAAGTGAAGAGTTGGAAGAATATTTTATTCATTACTAGCTTACCCATCACGCATTGCTGCAATCTCAGAAGAAAAGAGATTCAAGCAAACTCGTTATGATAAAATTCAATTTACATTTTATCATTTTTATTGAAACTTGTTATTATAATAATATTATTATTATTCATTTTCATCAGGAAAACATTTCAAATTGTCGTTTCAATTCTATTAATTTATTGGAATGCTTGTGGATACACGATATTTTTTGTTTTTCCGTCTGGTGCTTACACGAATAAATCAGGTTTTCCAACATGTGAGCTGGCCATATACAGTTGTCCATGCAAGAAGCATGGATTCTCCAAATCTAGCCCACACTCGCAGCGATTGTCAGAAGTACGATATTCCCCACTTTTATATATTTTTTTTAATCCTTTGCAATTTTAATTATTTAATTGCTCCTTCCTCGGCATGTTGTGAAATTTCTGATAGTTGGATAATAAACCGTTTTATTGAAATTTGTCTTTTTAAATTATTTTGAGTTGATATTAAAATTTGGAAAAGGGGGATCCCAGGATCGGTAAAATAGGCAAATTTCCTCCCACAACTTCGCTTGTTGTTTGGGATACAGTTAAGGTTTTAACAAAGTTTGAGCGAATACATAATTAGCAAAAAATAGTTGAAATAAAGTGATTAAGCAAAAATTATTACAAATATCATAAATAACAGTTCACAAATGCACATATAAAGATATTTTTTTGAAGGGGGAATGGTCTTCACAATTTGAAATCGACTGAACACACAGTATAAACGCACGCCATCTATTGTAGGATAAATGTACTATGCCAAAAACCTTCATGGGAGTATATTAAAAAACTTCCCAAAGCTTCATGGCAGTTGTACTATGCCAGAAACCTTCACGGGAGTATATTAAACAACTTCCCAAAGTTTCATGGCAATTGGATAAACGGTGTGGTAATGCATGAAGGACGAACAGGCATCTATATATATAAAAAAATGAATGTATGTCTAACTAATTTATAATTTAAGTTGTAGAACTAGAGCAGCTGCCATCAGAGATCTTGACAGAAATCAGGATCAACATAATGTGTAAATGAGTTTGATGGTAACTATGTATATTACTATGCTGAAAGGTATAATTAGACATTTGAAAAGTGACCAAGTTTCTTGTGCTAGCACAGCTGGGTGATAAAGCAGTGTTCTGGTGTTTGCTACTACAGTAGTTGCAGCTTATTGTAATCATGTTTGTTCAAGACTGTTTTGATTATAATAAACAGCTGATAACAATATCTGGCAGCGACCATCTTACAATGCAGCAAGGGGCATGTATTTATTTTATTTATTTATACAAGCTCAGAAAAATTTTCAACTGATTGCCACAATATTTGCTTTTCACAATTTTATAACACTTATATTTTTTAATCAAATTATTAGTATGTAATTTTAATAGGATCTTTTAAAGTTATCATCTTTTGTAACAAATTCCAGTTCTGTTTGGGAATGGATAACCATTGTGTTAATGTGTTGGAAGATTACTATTAAGCACTTTAATCCTGCTTTTACTAATGAGCAGCATATTGCTCCATTGTTGGTGTACTCATCTGCGAAGTCATCTTACACGATAGTTGGTCATCCTAGTGAAGATATGAGGGACATTGATGGCAGAGAGAGACATTCAAAAAATCCTGTACCCTTCCTTATATGCTATCTTTCATGGCAAGGTTTATAAACAGCAATTTTCAGCAAGATAATGTTCAGCCACAAACAGCTAGAGTTTTTCAGGAATGTCTCCAACTATGTTACTTATCAGGCACTAGAGAGATCAAATGGGATGCCAATTTTGACAATCTACAACTGCCATTGCCTGATAGATCTGGAATGGCAGTTGAAAAATCTGTCACAGAATAGTATAACAGGGCCTGTATGCTTCCATGCTTGATCATATTGATGCATGTATCTATACAACAGGAGGTCCTACTTATTACTAATGATTTCTTTAAATTGTACTTTTGTTCCACAAAAAATTGTCCTTTTGCTATAATATTGTATTCATTTATCATCATCATCACATTCATACTATTAAAGTTTCATTCAATTCCAATGCCTCCTCCTTGGTGCAAAACTTTTTTGTCAGTGTGTGTATTTAAATAAGTTTGAAATCAATATGCTCAGTTATTGTTCTATATGTCTAACAAAATATCTAAGATCAATCAGATATAACCAAAATACAAAGTTCAATGCAAACTATTTCAAGAAGGCTATTCAGCTTTTATGCATATTAATATTAAAAAATAAACTTACCTCTGCTGTAGTTTCTGGAATAAATACACAGCGTAATTTTGAGTCCATTAGAGATTCGGGATTAGCATCTCGCCACTGAAACAAATTAACAGAAAACATTTACATTCAATGTCTGTTAAATGTAAAAATTTTAAATTTGTTAACATTTATATTTATTATTATTATTTTAGAAGTTATTCATACATTAAGAAAATTGTATTTGCTAAGAAGAGATGCTTCATATGAACTAATTTTCAATAATTCAAATTTATTTTTCAGAAACTTATAAGATTAAAATTTAAGCAAATTGCAAAAAATAAATAAATAAATTTTATATAATTGAAAGTTAATATCTATCTTATTTTTACTTTAAAAATAAAAATAAGATAAATATCATTAAAAAAATTAAAACTAGCATACAAAGCACTTGCTATATACCTATATACTAAATATATAGGTACAGTTTGAAATAATCTACTTAAATCATTGTTAAATAAGAACAAAAATACAGTAGACCCCTATAAAACGTGTTCATATAGTTCAGATTCCTATATGACAGCGAAAAAAAATTGTGACAGTATTCGTACAAACACACTAAAAAACTTGTATAATTCAGTAAAACGTCATTGCCGACTTGTGTTGCGACAGGATTGGTCAAATCTAGACCAATAGCAGATATTGTACAAACTGTTGAGTTTAAACGAGCAGCGGACCTACAAAAAACCATTTATTATTTAACATCCAAAAAAACTATATTTATATTAATGATGTCTCCAAAATTCAGCAAATTTTTCACAAAAAAAATAATTTATCAGGAAGCACACAAGCACCATTTGATGGCAAGCTCAACGACGAAAACAAGCTTAAGCAATGGCATCATCAAACTTTGCATACTTGGTAAGTAATCCTACAATTTTTTGTTTATAACATAGTTTATATGGATTATTCCCAAAAAATTATACATATTTTGGAATGTTGAGTCGAATTAGTCTAGAATCGATTAAGTTTTTGGAAGAAAACCTTTCAAATAGCCATAGTCTGTAAACTGCATATGTGCCAGGCTGTGATTGGCTCATGTATTTAAGGACTCGTAGAAAATGGATTCATAAAAACTGGAACGTATCTACCGTGTTATGGGGGTCTACTGTATACAAATTATATTATGATAAAAATAAGTTTTTTTTCCTTAAAAATTTTTATAAATAATATTTTATCATCACTAAACTATTATATAATAATAATAAATTTCAAATCATATTTTTAGTACAGTAGAGCCTCGAAAACTCGGCCTAATATGGACTGAAGGGTGGCCGAGTTTGTGAAAATGCCGGGTTATCGAAAATGGGGTTAAAAAAAAATAAGTATGCGTGTTTCCTCAGAAAATATTGTACTGTACTTGTATGTATTGTTTGCTTGAGAATACAACAGAGAATAAACTGCCCAAATACCCTTAAACAAAGGAAAAGTATGTCCTTTATGAAGGCATAGAGCCTTTACTGCATGAAAATGAAAATTAATGAATACACTGTGTACAGTAATTTACTTGATAAGACAGACCTCAGAAAAATACTTTATGAGGCATAAAGCTGTCTATAATGAAAATTAATTAACTAAGGATTTTTTTGCCCTGCCAGAGTGTGACCGAGTTATCCGGAATGCCGGGTTATCGAGTGCCGAGTTTGAGGCTCTACTGTACAATACATTACAAAAAAAGTAATTATGTTTGTTCACAAATACTTTATTGAGAATAATATTAATTAAAATAACTAACATGTAAAAGTATATATATATTTATTTATTTATAGATACACTATTATTATTCATATTAAGATTTAGTTAAAAAATGTAGTAATTCATTTTTTGGTAGTATCTATTAATAAATAACTATAGTCCTATATTAGTTTTTATGTATATAACCTTGACGTATAGAGATGTTTCATAAGGTAAACAAGATAGTAAAATCTAAATTACATTTTTTTTTATTTGTAATGACTTCTTAACCTATTTATTTTATGTATAAATTCATCACTATTGTGACTGTTTAATAAGAATTGCAATAAAATAATTCTACTAACTTTTCTGAACTAACTACAACTATTACTTTATTACAAACCTATCAATTCTGTAGTTTTTTAAATGAATTTATTTTAATCTTGTTTTAAGGTTGCATGAAGACTCATTCCTATATGCAATCACTGTAAATTAGTAGAATACTGAGAAGACTGATTGTATTAAATATAAATATTTTGTACAGAAAAATAATTTATCAATTTTTTCACATTGATATTTTTACAATAAATCAAATTCTAGAGCTACTGCTTTAATTTCATTATTATTTTAATTCTTCATTTAAAGTAAACTTAATATATTAACTGCCATGAATTACATTGATGCTTACAATATGTTACCAGATACCATCTGTAAAAATTTGTAAAATGCAATCTTTGTCTTTAGTTTCAAACACAAGCATATTCATATTAAAAAAAAAATAAAATGTAAATAATAGGTAGTCAATAGAAATAAAAAAACCCCAAAGAACAGAATATTAATTCTCAGAAAAATAATACAAATTAATTGAAGCAGTGTCATTAACATTTATAAAAATAAAGTGTTTATTGGTTATACAGTATTTTGTTGATACACACAAGAGAGTTGACATCTCTAGACACACTGTACAATGAGAGCATGTTTTATGGCATTTTCATTTTTTTTTTGTGAATACTTAACATGGCTTGTTTGAACATGGTATCATCTACAAAAAATCTTTATATAATGAAATTCATTTTCTATCCTAATTTTATTGCATCATTTGGCATTTTATCTCCAACCAAATATTCAACTATTAAATGTTTAGATTCTGAATAGTTGAACCAGAATGATGGAAAAGGACTGATGCAATTTTTTGGCCCTAGAATCATTTTTCTGTAATAAACCTAAGTAACAAAAACTAAGTCACTACTATATTATTGCTCTCTACAGCAAATAATGAATCCTGCAAATATTAACAAATCTGAACTGATTGCACAGGCCATTTATGAGATAAAGAATTTTCTGTTTCTTACACCAAGTGTTTTAAATGCAGATTCTTATAACTCTTATGGGATTTTTGTAAAATTATTATTTGGCCAAACTCATAAAAGTATTAAGTGTTACGAATTGAATATTGCATGCAACAACATGTCTAACAGAGAATGGCATCAGAGAGCATTTCACTCAATGACATTACAGCAATCACACATTAATCTATTTTATATACTATATATATAATTTTTTTCTTAAAATCATGACATTTTTTCCCAGTCACGAAAAAACTTTAGAAACAATTGCACTGGAAATATATACATACATACATACATACAGAAAGTCCTCACTTAATGTTGTTTCATTGTTAAGGTGACCAACTTCTTTTACAGTGAAAAGGAGGACACTAATAAATTGAAGAAAAAATATCGTAAATAAACATTTTATTCATTGCAGCAATAATACACTATAATAATCTCTACTGCATGCATAGGTGCCATGTCGTGTTTCGATAAGAAGTAAACAAAGCCATTTGTGTGCTCTCTCTCTTAAGGTCTTCAAGGTCTCCCATGCGAAGAGCATGCGTCTCATAATTGCATCTCATTGCACTGTACAGAGCCTCGATGAATCGTCATGTTAAATACAAACATGTCATATCACATAACATGCAACGAATCAGTTTGGCATTGATCGAATACGGAGATTTACAGATTAGTCTTCAAATATGAAAAAGGAGGACATGTAGGAGGACACTTTTCAAGGGAGGACTGTCCTCCCTAAAGGAGGATGATTGGTCACCTTATCATTGTATCTTCATCTAAGAAAAATACATTTGAAATCATTTAAATTATCATCAAATTAAACAAAAAACAACGTTAATACATGTATTACAACATATGTAATACATGTATTACAGTGTTGTTAATACATGTATTACAGTGTTGTTAATACATGTATTAACAACAAAGACAAAATCACCCTGTCAACTGCATGGCAGGTGCTCGTAGACAAGAACTTACAATAATTTACAACCAGCAAAGGGGTCAATGACGCCATCGATACGTACGATAGAATTCTTAATGGTGTTCTTATTTGAATTGAATTTGAATGGCATTCGCTTAGATATCTGTTACCTGAAGATGAACTTACAAGTTCGAAAACGTTTGTAACACTTCGTTTTACCGAGAAGCACACCGGAAACAGGTTCCTGGTACGTTGTTTTTTGTTTACTTTAACCCGGTGTAGTACATTACCGATTTATCATCAAATTTTCTTTATAAACAGTAAAATTGATTCTATGAGGTGGAAATTAAATATTAGAGGTTGCAAATATGATATAAGTCAGTTATTATTATTCTAAGTATATCTAAATATATATAACTCGAAGGTGACTGACATAGTGATCTATCAACGCACAGTCCAAACCACTGGACGGATTGGACTGAAATTTGGCATGCAGGTAGATGTTATGACGTAGGCATCCGCTAAGAAAGGATTTTGATCAATTCTACCCCCAAGGGGATAAAATAGGGGATGAAAGTTTGTATGAAACTTTGTCAATTTTAAACCAATAGGGCTGAGACTTTGCATGCATAAAGCTACTATGACGTAGGCATCCCCTAAGAAAGGATTTTGATAAATTCCACCCCTAAGGGGATAAAATAGGGGATGAAAGTTTGTATAAATCTTCTTAGATTTTCGACTGATTGAACTGAAATTAAAGATTGGAGCTACTATGATGAAGACGTCCGCTTAAATAGGATTTTGATAAATTCAACCCCCATGGGGATAAAATAAGGGATGATGGAGGATGTAAATGTATTAGTTTGAACCTATCAGTACCTAATGGAACGAATAAATTAAGACGAACAAAATAATTTTTAGTTCTAAATGTTGACAATAGATGGCGTTAGTAGTATTTTAAAACGCGCTATCGTTGTGTTTTCACTGAGTTACATATACCCGATGATGAGTGGCCGCCGTATCTAATAGTACATACTATACCTAAATATTTCTAGCGGATTATATTTGACGATTTTGGCTGTTCTTTTCTTGGCATATTTTGGATTGCATTTGCTTTGTTTCGGTTTAGTAGTTTTGGTTATAGACTCTGCTTTGTATTTGGCATTTGTTTTGTTTTCGTTTGGTTTAAGTATAGGTTTTGTCGGTTAGACTTTTTTAAAATGGCTAAAGAAAATCTGAACGTTAATGGAGAAGTTGAAGAATGTACTGTCGTCCCTATTGTTGGTGATGGTGCATGTTTGTTTCGTGCTCTCTTTTAATAATACTTCTTAACGCAAGCGAAGCCGCGGGCAAAAGCTAGTGTTATATAAATCATTTAGCCTGAAGTTGAAATGGTTTTGCTATACAATGTTTCACTTAACACTGAAGTTTCCAAAATCAATTGAGAATGTTAAGTAAGGACTTGCTATATGTATTTATACTATGAGCTTTATGGCCTTTCCAGATTCCTCTACCTGCAATCCATAACATGAATCACACACAGTGACAACCAGTAACTGCTGGAGATCACCACCAAATTCCAGCACTTGTAGTCATATTGCTGCCATCCTTCCACCTCACCACTTGGAGGCCTGCCAGTCATTTCCACAAATCCCTGATGCTAAAAATGGAAAAAGCTCAGTTGGCCTCTCCCAGTTTTTATTGACTAACAACCTAGTTCTGCTTGACTACTAGCTCCATATTTACTCTATATACAGGGCAAACCAAAAGTAGGTAGACAGTAAACGATAGCGTTTATTTTAAATTACATATATAATTATATTAAATTTTATGTATACAGTAATAATAATTAATAAAAAAATTATAACATACCATAAAAAAAATAAATACTATTCAATTTCTACCTACTTTTAGTTCACCCTGTATATAAAATACTTAAATTAGCATCATCATAACTTTTTCCCACCATGATAAAAAACAAAAAAATAGAAATGGCAGCTACTGGGGTAAACAGTCATGACATTTTTGTTATGAATAGTCTATATTGTGAATAAGGGGAGTAAATATTTTCTAATAAGTTACTAATTTACTAATAAGTTATTGGTCTAATAAAAATCATTGAAATGACAATGTAATTAGTGACAGAAATAAAACATATGACATTAGAGTTTGCTAATTATGATGTATTACATCAAAATCAAACACATACCTATTTTCAATGATGCAAAAACCTGAAAAATGTGCACTTTACATTTGAGTAAATATAGTAATTATCATTAAACCTATTTTATATAAAGTAAGATTTGTTGAAACATTACTAATAGATCAAAATGATCTAGCATGTGCATTAAGAGTCAAAAAATTCATCTAAAAATTAACAAAATTGAAGATACAGTAGAGAATCAATTATTTGAACAAAATACTTTCATACTTTGTAGGAAAAAAATAATAAAAAGATATTTTAAATAAGCTAAAAATATTAATTTTAATTCTACTACAAAGTAAAAAAAATTAACACACAAATTTAATTAAAGATTAATTCATAGAAAATTGTTTAATTTATTAAAAGCAGTCTTTGTTTTCATTCTATGTTGTGATGAAACTTTGAATTACAAATAATAAAAAAATATATATAGTGAAATTAATAAAATAATGAGACATCTCAATAGCCTACAGAAAATCATCAAAAATTGTATTATGCAAAACACTATAATTTCTGAACATAGTACTCTAGAATTGATTTTTATACTTAGTTTTTAGATAATTGATACTACTATTGGGTTCTTCAGAAAGTAATTTAATTTTTTTTTCCGTGGAAAAAAACCACAATATTTTTATTTAATAAATAAATATTTCATTGAATTATATATAGACCATTTTAGTCAAATACCTGTTGTCATCGTTTCTGGTAGTAGCATGATTTCACATTCATAAAAGTTTTGATTGTTACTTACAAAAACCTGATCCAAGTGATTTTTGACATTGTCGTTTCAAGTAAATGTCTTACAGTTAAAAAACATTTGTATAGACCAGAACAAGTAATAATATGAATGTGCTTGATCTGGCAAATATGGTTGGTGTGATAGCATGTCCAATCTAAGTTATAACAGTTTTTCTGACAAGTTACCAAACTTGTGTGAAATTTGACATTATTGTGGTAAAACACTACAGCTGTTTTGTTGATCAATTCTGGCCACCTTTTCTGTTTGATGATATTACTCAATTTGTTTACTCGGTGGCAGTACACTTTCAAATCAATTGTTAAATTGTCTGGTAAAAGTGCAAAAAAAAATTTCCTTAAAATACCACCAAAGAGAGCATCTCTCTTTAAGAATGTGTGGAACCCATATATCAAGCTTTAAACAATTTGTTTCAAGTAATCATAAACAGTTCAATTTGACAAATTTAATCTCTTAGTGATTTCACATGTTGTTATTTGGCAGTTTGCTTCAATCAGTACCTGTCTTAACTCATGAAGATAATTTACATACATCATTTTCTTGCCAAATTTTACACTAAAATGATAAAACATTAAATTAATAGTTATAAAGACAAATTTAAATATCAAATTTTCTCATCTGGTAGACCAAGTATTGTTG